AAGTTAGGCAATCTAAAGCCCAAGTGAAATTGCATTTGGCTAGAGATGTCAAAGATATAAACTGCTTGTAAAAAGATTATTTTGAGGTCTGTATTTGAAATTTAGAAGCTGGAAATGTTTACATCAACTGGAAATGTTTACAAAATTTGTTCCTAATGTTCAAACAGACGTGTAGAGCTTCTAGAAGCTGCCTCCATGCACATCCAGTTCAGAGAAGAATTATATAGTAGCAGCTGCATTTTCATGCAACACCTGAGTTCACCTCATGTATGTTTAATCTGTAGCAAATGCTACCATTTTCCATTTTCACTTCTGCTCTTATATTTTATGGAGTTCACAGAAAAAAACTGGAAGGGTAGTAAAAGTGATGTTCTCAGTGGCTGTAGGCAAGCTGACTTGTGTCATATAGTAAGTCTGAAATACTGAAATACTAAACAGAACCCCAGAAAGACAGTATTTGTCATGACAGGATTATCCTTCCTTCTTAAAGAGCTCACTGCCCCCCTCTTTAACCTGACACTCTTAACACTGCAAATCTGAGCAGAGGCTGGATGTGACATCTCTCTGGAAAACAGCATCTGAGACAAAAGTATTAACGATTGTTTGTAAAGGTGCTGATACGATGATAGTTTTCAAGGCATTTTCATCTTCATATACCCCAAAGCCAGTGACACCCAGGTACACTGATGCCTTAAGATTTTATCAGAAAGTCTTGAGAAAGAAGTTGCTGCAGTGTGGTACAGATAAGCCTAACTCTGAAGGGGATAACAATGTTTCATAGTGCTTCAAGAAAATACACAATAGGATAGGTAAGGCAGACAGAATAAGGCAGAGCAAAAAAACCCATAAAGATTAGTAACTCACCTTTAACTCTGATTAGCTGCAAATGTTCAGCAATCAAGAACAATTTTGCAATAATCCTTATTTCTAAGTTGGAACTGGTGTGAACAAATAAACCTCACATAGGTGGAAATAAGGAAAATAACCTTCCTGGGCTGTAGAGTCAGAGAGAGATAAGCAACAGGATTCTCTCCTTTTTCAGTCTTGCCTTTTTCCTGACCCCAACTCTGATAGCTCTCAAGGATGAGCCTCTCTGAGGGAAAGTTATCCTGCCCTTTTGGTTACTCTTCCTACCCCTCCTGCTCTACAAGGCATCTGTTTTAACATGGTTTATCCTTGTTAGTACTTATGAAGGTTTTCTTGGATTGTTTTTGTTTGTTTGTTTGTTTGTTTTTAACAAAAATAACCGCAATTCAGATTTGTTGAGCTAGTTTTTACAGAACTTTATGGGAAAACCAACCAAATGTCATAAAAATGACACCACAAACACAGATGAAGGCACAAAACACCTTATGTATGTTAATCCCATCACCCAAAGTCTCATTGCTAAGCCAGGCTGTGCAGCACTACAGAGAGGAAGGTGAGAACTTCCTTTGCTTGATGGGAATAGATGAACCACTTGAGCACAGAAGCAAGTCAAAATATCAGTGGAAAAAATAGGAAACAGATGGAGGCAGGGGAGGGTCTTGAATCACCCTTTCCTGCTTTTCCTTCAACAGCATAGGCCAACTTAATGACAAGCAAGCTAAAGAAATGTTCACATGGAGTAAGCCTCCTGTAGAGCATCTTGCCTGGCTTCAGCCACAGCACTTTTAGAACTAACTGAAGAGAGTCCAATAAGAGCAATAAGAAAAGATGACCAATAGAAAGACCAAACGAGTTGGGCACATTTTAGCCCAAAGCAGAGTAAGCTGAATGCATGGTCAGGGGGTCAGATACAGCTCTCATTTGAAGATTTTTAAGAACCACCTAACTTAGTTATGCATCAGGAATGGAACAGATAGATTTGTCTTCACCTTAAAGCAGAGGGAAAGTAGGATGGATCTCTTGAGGTAATTTCTAGCTCTAAATTTTTCTAGGATTTGGAAATGGACCCTTCAAAATAGCAACAACTATTTCACTGCCAATCGACCCCACCCCCTAGGGTTGGTTGTTGTCTTCCTGGCCTTGGATAAGACACATCACCAAGAAATTTCCCACCCTGGTGTGGCCCACTGATTATTACCTGCTACTGGTTTTTCAAGTGGATACCAAGGAGATCCTGACCAGAAGGCTGTGGAAATGTAAGAGGGACCTCAGGGTGGTGGGACAAGTCAGGGTGTTGGGACAAGTTGTTTAGCCTGGAGAAGAGGAGGCTCAGGGGAGACCTCATCACTCTCTACGACTCCCTGAAAGGAGGTTGGAGCAAGGTGGGGGTCAGTCTCTTCTCCCAGACAATCAGCAGTAGGACAAGAGGGCATGGTCATAAGCTCTGCCAGGGTAGGTTTAGGTTGGATATTAAACAGAAGTTCTTTACAGACAGTGATCAGGCATTGGAATGGCCTGCCCAGAGAGGTGGTGGATTCACCGTCCCTGGAGGTTTTTAAGACGAGACTGGATGTGGCACTGAGTGCCATGATCTAGTAATCACAGTGGGGTTGGATCAAGGGTTGGACTTGATGATCTCGGAGATCTCTTCCAACCCAGTTAATTCTATGATTCTATGACAACTAGTCAAGGGATCTGCAGCACCAGTTGTGTTCTTTTCTGTCCTGCCAGTTGCAGGGAATGTTGGGGTAAGAAACAGGAAAATTATGCAGATGAACATCTGGGTTCAAGACTGGTGTTAGCAGCAATATTTTGGTTTTTTCGATCATGTGTCAGTTTATATGACACTGAGTCTGTAGGAAACAAACGGGGTCCACCTGCCTTAAAAGGGTAAAAGGATCTTAGCTCAGGGGCTAGCAGGGCTCATTGAGAGAGCTTTTTATTTGAAAGGGGATGGAGACATAGCCAGGCTTGACAGAGATGAGTGACGACCCAAGTACCATAAGGACATTTAAGAGGGAATACCTCAATCAAGCTCAAGTATCCAAAGATGTAACTACAGGACAGGACTTTGGGGCATCCCTTTGCACTCCTACTGGCATATTGACACAATCAAATACCTCTGTAAATGCTTGAACACCAACACAGGCAGTATGGGGAACCCATTCTGTGATTCTGTAATATGAACTTCTCTCCAAAGGAAGACACTTGTGCAAACAGTCCCATATTGAAGCTGTTCCTTTCCCGTAATGTTATCATCTATTCCCATTCGAAAGGGTTCTTTGTACACTTTAGTATCATTGAGAATCAAGCTGAAAATATCAATCAAATTCTTTATTTATATCTCTTGGATATAATAATCACTCTAAAATTCAAGGACTATAGCTTTTTAGGGTTTGATAAAACACAATTAGATATCAGGGCTTTGAACAAAGTAGAGTTTTAAACAGAGGGTTAAGACAGCATTAAAAAATGATTAGCACGTCAGTAGAGTCTGAGCAGACAGGTCTTTAATAACACTGGATAGGGAGTTTAAAAGAAAATACTTCAGAGAAGTAAATGGATATTCTTTCCAGCAGAATGATTTCTTTAAGGAAAAAAAATCCAAATTATGCAGGTCTTTCGTTTTTTGTTTCAAAAGAACCAGTCTGAAGGTAAAATATACCTACCCAAAGCAATTAAGATGAGAACAAAGAGGAAAAGAATACTCCAAGGGCCAAGCACGTAAGACTGAAAGAACTATTCAGTCAAGGTATAATCATCCATTTTCCCCTGTATTATATTTATTTAATACAAACATAAAGGTGTGCAGAAGAGATGAATGGGTTACAGGGGAAGGTAAAGTGAAAGCTCTAAAATGTTGTTCTTTGGAGAGCATCATCATTATCAAAGAGAACTGTTTGCTGCAAGTCAGTCTTGAATTCAAACAGGCACCTGTTGAGTTGTGCATGGCTCTATGAGTGACTACTAGAAAAGGAGAAACAGAAGGTTACAGAAGGAATATGCTAAGACAGTAGTGCTTGCCAGACTCCAGTCTCTGTTTCAGCAGTAGTAGAACTTCAGCCAGACTTTTCAAAGGTGACAAAGAAAGAAATTTTTAGATAATTTCTAATTTTAGACTGGAGTCTTCCTCCCCAACTCTGGGCTTTACTGTGAAGGAGAGGAGGAAACCAAACTTCCCCTGGTCTCTGTCATACACTTGCCATGGCATGAAAAGAAAACCCTGTGTCAGATTTTGCTGTATGAACAAAATTGTTCATAAATTTGTAAGTTCTACCAAATGCCTGTCTCATTCCTTTGCCCCAAGAGTCAGTTCTATCAATTTATTTGCTTTTATGAAACTATTTATTTATGAATTCTTGCTCAAAACAACTGAAAATCCTAAAGACAAGCAAAAAGAATCCTTAGTAAGTTGAGTTTACACAGCATTACACAGTTACACTACAAAAATAAGAAAGTACTCGAATGCAGTATTTTGCATCACAGCCCCAGCTCAACAATTCCAGGGTACAAACTGGGATATTTTACAATTTTAAATGCCATTGCAGAAAACCAGAACATATTCTTTCAGTCATATTCCTCACCTAGTACATACATTTATAGATAACCTCTGCACTTTCCTTTGGTCACTTATCATGCCCTGATGCTAATTGAGAAATAATTCAAAAAGAAGACTTCCTATTTTATTAGCCATCTCACTTGACAAAGTAAGCACATTTCCTCTAAGGCCTCAAGGGAAAAATTATGAGGACGCACTTTGTTTCGGCTCATGATGACAGGCATCAGATGTTCCTCTAGGCAACCTTTGCTTGGGGCACAGCAATTTTTTTCAGAGGCCTAACTCTGATGGATGCATAAAATAAGACAGACTGAGAGCAGATCTTTCAAGAGAAAAAAAGACCAGTGGGCTTCAGGGAAAATGGTATTTCAGGTTACCTGTGTTTTTAAAAATTGTAACTGGGAATAAAAATTAAAGATAATGTGGAGAAAATATTATACTCTCTGCCACAGTTCATTAAAGTACCATGCACAGAGCAGGCAGGTACTTCAGTAACTGAACAGATCCTGTTCCTCCATATTTTACTTTCATTGAGAAGATGACTTCAATGACTTCAAGTATATTGCTAACATACCTTTCCTGGCTCCCTTCTGTGATGTGGTAGAGATGATTGGCACCTCCATCAGCACAAGCTCTCAGGGCAGCTGCAAGCGAAGAAAGAGAACATCAGTGCATTTGCATTATAAAAAAAAAAACACACCCACAACTAGTTACTTCATTATTGACAATGCTGTTTAAACTCAATTGTTCATGGTTGCATGGGGAATTAACTTGAGATCTCATATGGCTTTTACCTTCCTATACATGACTGCTTCCCATTTCTCTAAACAGGAATTTGAATTGTTTTTATCAGACTAGGGCCACTCCTCATCTGCCTATGCCACTGTACTTGCAAATAGCTTATGTCTATCTATCCTAACCTACTGCCCAACCAGCTTAAACTACATGAGGGGCAAGTATTCAAAACCTGAAAGGACCCATCCTCTGCCTATGGGCATGTACTTGTCACAAAGTGGGAACTTGCACTGGAAACCTAACTACCTTCTCACCCAGGCAGAAAGTTCACAATGGTGGCTCTGTAACAACCTGCATAACCACTGGGGCAAAAAACCCCACCGTAACCAAGAGTTAATCATGACAATACCCTTTTTCTTTTTTTCTTCCCCATCCTACGGCACAAAAATGGCAACTCTGTTACAGTTTCTATGTTGTTCCACAGACTGTTTGAATCATCTGATGTAAAGTAGGCAGGTTAGTCTTGGCTTTAGAATCTTGAACTATCCTGATAAAAAACCACAATAATTTTCAGTGCTTCCACCTAACTTAGGGACCTCAAAGGGCATACGCCACTAATTCCAGTTGATTTAAACAAGCACAGACATGATTTTCTCTTATGATCCCTTTGTTTATATAGACTTAAGACAGAGAAAAGAGACAAGTCTAACACTATTATTACAAAATCAAACATAAATTGGTATATTTTATTCATAAGCATCCTCATTAATCATCATTTAACTAACACATAGCTCTTTAGAGATTTTAAAAATCTGATAAGCTATTAGGGATTAAAAATGACCATCTTGTCTTAGCAGTCTTTATCAGTTTTACTCTGAGATGCACAAGCCAGATAACCGCAGCACACAAGATAAAAGGAGCTGTCGCTTCCACAATAGAGCAGAGCGTTCCTTTCAGGCAAGGAGAGACTGACTGGTAGTCCTGAGAGGGCTGAAAGTCACAGGGGTGGGGTGGGGGGAGCAGTTGGAGGAGGAAAAATGGAAAAAGAGGAGAGACAAAGAAAAGGAACAGCCTGTCAAAGTTTTGGGGGAAAAGGTACAAACAATCACATCAGGTACTTCTTGCTGCTGAGAATCCAATTTTCAGCTAAAGCCACTTTCCTTTGGTGTTTATTTCTCAGTCAGAACCACCTCTCAGCAGTGTTACAAACCTATTATCTTTCCTTTTGGTGTACATTAGGTGGGCAATCCAAACCTCCCCCGAGCTTAGCCATCAACTTAGCCAGCCTATACAAACAGGGACAACAAAGTTCACCTCTATATCTGCTCTCAAGTCATTCTTTCTTATGTGGTTGCTGAACTACCACCACAGGGAATGCTCTGTATCAATATATCCACCATGCAGTACCATGTGACCTTGGCTGAGGCATTTTAGAAAAAAAAAAAAAAAGGAAGGAAACGGGGCAGCACAGAACCTACCAGTTCATCACAGGGAGCTTTCGGTACTTGAGCTTTTTCCTGCAGACTGAAGTAATGTGCAAGACAGGAGAATGAACACTGTACTCCTTTGTATTGCTTCTAGCACTGCTCTGCTCCAGGGACCCCTGCTCTCTCTTGCCCATAGTATTATGGTACCCGCTATGGCAAGCCCTACTGCTCTCAGCCATCTTTTACAGACCATGCTCTTCTCCATTTCCTTATCCTACTTCTACTCCTTACAGCCTCCATCCAAATCCCAATTAATGAGCCAAGGTCAAGCAGATTTAATCCTGACAAATCTCATTAGGTGAGATCATTTCTAAATTATGGTAGCTGCCCAGCCATTTACCATGGTGGTTCACTGCTTCAGGCAGGTTCCTTATCCATCCTTATGAATACAAACAACACAAGAACAGCATTTTTGCCTGCTGTGTTTGACGGGATGATTTTAACTTCTCACTCTTGAGGTTACAGCTGAAAATGGGTTGATGTACTTCCTTTATCCTGGGCGTATTTGTTAAGTTGTCTCAGGAAGTGCAGCTCACACAGAATATATTACTGGCCCATTGCAAGAAAAGTCTGTAATACCTGTCCTTGAATTAGCTATCCAGTCCATCGGCTTATTTAGCAGATAGAAGGCATCTAAGCAAGGCCTGGGACCTAGGCAATTACAGAATCTCTTCCCTCCCCATGAGCTACAAAAGCAATTAATCAGTTGAGACACTCTTTATAACCAAAACTGGTTATAAAAACTGCAGAAAAATTATTTTCTAACTTCAGGTACATAAGCTGCCTAAAAGATGCTTCCCGGGCCAAGGACAGTCCCAGCCTTTTCCTTCTGAAAACAGTGTGTTTTACATTTATTATCCCACATTAAAAAAAAAAATAACTGGCTTACAACTTCTGAAGAAAAAAAAAAAAAGAAAAAAGATGGGATGAGATACAGAAAAAGAGATTAAAGAGTCTATTTTCTGTCTCAATTACTTTAAGACAGCCAGACTGTCTTTAACTATTGCAAATTCTCTCGATGGACTTACCACAAGTGAAGCCTGGCCTAAGATCTCTTCATCTGATCTTACTATTTTAAAACAACATGCCAAAAAAATCCAAACCAAACTAAGCACTATAAAACAAACCAGTCTTCAATCAGTCTGGCACACGTAAAACTACTGAAATTCTCCCCAAAACATGAAGGTACCTAGGTAATAGGTCTGTGACACTTGTATATAGTTCACATGGATATGTGGCTAAAATCTGGTATCTCAAATCAAGAGTTGCCTTATGCAATTTAAAGCTGCCCCTCCCCCGCCCTGTATATATTTTCTTATTTATAAGAAAAAAAATATTAAAATTAAACTTCTGTAGAATTGTATAATTATTTAGAGAAACTATTTATGAGGTGCTTATCCTTTACCAGTAAGTTAATAACTTACACTGGAATCAAGCAAAGCCCCAGGTGCATTAAGGAACTAGCAGGTAATTAACAGATTGGCTGGAGGCCAGTAAATCACAATATTTCTACAGCTATTAATAAAGCTTTGTTTTATAAAAAAAGTAATGATATATATTAGCTGGAAGAACTTGTATCATTATTACCTGAAAGCATTTAAGGAGATAGCAATTCTAAGCTTAAAGTTTGGATGGAGATTCTCTATGAAAAGATAACAGGAACTGATTTTATATAGTGCTTTTTATATTAGAGGCAAAATTGCTTAACAAACAACTGTGTGGCCAAGGTGCACCACGGTAACTGTGTAGGCAAATCTAGCAGTCTCTAGGCACTTTGCAACAGCTCATACGAAACCTCATTAATTATTTCGGCAGAAGCTGAAGGACCTGAACACAATCTGGGCTTTGTTTTGCTTGGCTTGGAATCCTGAAAACAGAGATACCTTCTTCCAATATGTTTACAATTAAATAGATGAAGAAAAAAAAAAAAGAAAAGGTAGAAAGTGACACAGAGGGATGAGGTGGTAATGATCACACATGGATCAAAACCACGTTTTCTTCCAGGGAGACCAAGTGGATGGTGGGGCTTGTACAGTGAAGTGGTCAGTCAGAACACAGAGGGTCTTGCACTTACCTTCTCTTCTGGCTCAAAGGTTACCATCCCATTATTGGAGACCCCTAAAATTTGCTAGGTGCCATTGAAGTACTCTCTGGCTTATGTGATGTCAGAAAGAACTAAGTCACCAAAGACATTTTCTAAAGGCTTTTAGTTAACCCTGCCTGTGTGAGCTGAGACAGACTAAGGAATGGTCATCAAGTAGCTCACTGAGCTCTGATGGGTCAGGAGTACCAACACCTCCAGAAAAGACATTGTGATATGCAACTAGGAGCAATAGCTTTTTTAACCAGCACAACTAGAAGCAGAGGAGGCCCATGCTCTTAGCCACCCAGCTCAGCTGGAGAGCCCCAAGGTACTGCTTCATGCTTTTGTTATTAGAAGAGACGATGCTGAGAGGACAAGGGTGCAAGTGTACTGCAGCTCAGGCTCAGCATGTGAATCTGCACTCCTTGGCATTACCACAAAATACCACCTTTCCAATCTGAATATTCTGTGTTAAACTCTACTCCTCAGAAATAGTTTCATCTGCCAAAGCACCGCCTTTTGTATCTGTCAAATTCCTTTATGATGTAACTCCTGTGTCATTCAGTGAACTAGGGCATGGAGACATAACTGAAAAATCAACTGTTTCATTGTACAGAAGGGAGACCTCAATGCCACTGCCAGTAACTACTTCCCAAGTTAATGGGAGCAGCATATGATAAGTCCAGTAGTGTCTGAAATTATGGCAAGAGTAAATAGCCCTCATCTCTACCTATGCCAAAGAAAAGTTACATCAAGAGCATATTATCAGCTCGTGATATCTAAGAGTTTCTCACAGGCAACGTTGATGAAGAAACCAAAGTCTTTCTGAGCAATTGCTTTTCATTTTAAATGGTGCCTCTTCTGCTACGAACCTGTGAACTATTTTCCTTCAGTGACTGATGCTGAAGCCCCAATTTTAGGACTAATTATTACTTGTTACAAAAATTATCATAACACAACAAAAATAATAGAAACAATTATATTTATATTTACCCCTTTGGCAAATACTTCCTGTCCCTGTGAGACAGGATATGAATAACATATCAAACACAAAAAAAGAAGGTCTTGGCTCTAAGCTAACTAGTCCTGATGCTTTTTCCAGAAAAGGAGAAAGTATATTACCATATTCAATAGCCCTGCAAATTCAGGCAGGGGAAAAGAGTCCACAGAACAGATGCAACTCTAGCAGACTAAGTAAGATGGGGGCATAAAAAGGGAATATATTTATACACTACAGCAATACCTGAGGAAGAAAAGCATAACCTTATTAGTCTTATTATCATTCCTATTCTATTATTCCTTGCAATTAGCATTTAAAATATTTTTTCTCTTTTTTTCC